ATCTTTTTCACCATTTGATGGACTAATCCACCATCTGGAGCCAGGAATGGTTCCAGGGTGGCTGCCGTGGTCTGGGCCTTGCATGGGTCGTCAACATTTATATCAGTCTGTGGGGGGTTTTTAATTAATTTTTTCCATATAATGGTAAGTGCTTCATCCTCTCACGCCCCCACCCACCACGGAGTCCAACAAGGGGAAGCTGTGTGTCAGAGCCAGTGTCTGACAGCCACAGGGGTGATGAGAGGATATACGCAGCCAATAACCATTGTGGCGGCGCTCATGGACCATTGTGAGCGCCAATGGAGGCATGACTGCTTGAACCTAGCCTCCCATGGGAGACCAGCCGATTGACCGTGACCAGGCCGGGATCAGGCCGCCTGTCTTGCTGGAATAGAGGACCAAAGAGGTGTGTTGCTAGCCGCAGGGCATACTCATTCACGGCATCGCTCAGACTCCAGGACTCCCGTCTCCACAGCGCACAAGGCTGCCATGCACGGCAATCGCGTGGGTAGGTGTAAATCCCTGGGGAGAGACCAGAGGGGATGCCCTTCCACCTACAGGACATCATTGCTTGGAACCCTAGTGCTCGTCCCTCTGAAGCAACCACCCAAAGGCTGCTTCACCTCAGTGAGGGATGGAGCTCTTTCACTTTTTCCAGTTAGTTCCTCTCATCCCTCTGAATAGGCACCCAAAGGCTGTTTCACCACAGTGAGGGAGGAGAGGGCCTGAACCTTTTTCAAAGTGAATTCCTCTTTCCTCTGAAACAGCCATCCAAAGGCTCTTTCACCACAGTGAGGGAGGAGGAGTCCTGCACCTTTTCAGGGAAGCTCGTTCAGCCCTCAGAAAGCAGCCACCCAAAGGCTGTTTTCCTACAGTGAGGGAGAGGAGCTACCTTTCAAGGTGGTTCCAGTGGCGGGACAGAAGCATTGTAGGAGCCTGTGTAGGTGTGAACCCCTGGGGAGAGACCAGAGGGGATGTTCTTCCACGTACTGAACATCATTGTTTGGAACCCTTTTGCTCATTCCTCAGAAGCAGCCACCCAAAGGTTGCTTCTCCTTAGTGAGGGATGGAGCTCTTTCACTTTTTCCAGCTAGTTCCTCTCTCGAAAACCGGGCTCCCCTCATGGGCATAGCCCGGGCGAGGCTCTGCTTCGCAAATCAGACAAAAAAAAAAGTTCCTCTCATCCCTCTGAATCAGCCACCCAAAGGCTGTTTCACCACAGCGAGGGAGGAGAGGGCCTGAACCTTTTTCAAAGTGAATTCCTTTTTCCTCTGAAACAGCCACCCAAAGGCTGTTTCACCACAGTGAGAAAGGAGGAGTCCTGCACCTTTTCAAGGAAGCTTTTACAACCCTCAGAAGCAGCCACCCAAAGGCTGCTTCACCACAGTGAGGGAGAGAAGCTAACTTTCAAGGCGGTTCCAGTGGCGGGAAAATAAGGCAGTGTTCTGTCTAGCAGCAGCTATTTCGACAGAGCTAATGCCAAAGGGAGGGGCTCCTACCTGCCTATCGCCCTAAACGAATAACTAGAGTGGCAGTCATTAAATGGTCTGCCAGACCAGTCCCTAGCAAAAAGAATGGCAACTCTCTGTGTACCATAAGGCAGGCACCTAAGCCCCCCAGACACACCCTCTCCTAAAGGTAAAGGTCAGCCCACGTCCGAGCACGCGCCCGAAGATGGAGTCCAGTTCACCAGAAGGTGCACAGAGAGTCATCCTAATGCCGAAAATCTGTAAAGGAAAGTATAGGCTATAGGGCACGAAGCTAAATGCGTCGCGGCAGCAACGAGGGGTGGACGCCGAAGCGTCCGGTAACACGTAGGAGCCGAGGTGATGTTGCCGAGGGCTGGCTCCAGTCAATCTCTTTAAAAACACCCTCGGCAAAGTTCCCGTGAATCTGGCATCACGGGACCCCCTTTGCAACCGTCGGCATGGCGTGGTGCCACCCGCAGAGCTCCGGGCATCATGGTGTCCTTGGCGTTGTCGGCATGATGGTGGCCGTTACGCGTTACGGCATCACGGTGGCTATCTTCGCGTTACCGGCTGGCTAAGTGCCACCCGCTGCACCCCGCCGATCTTCCTGGCCAGTACAATCCTCCCTTCACTCTGAATTAGCCAGGAAAGGCTAGTTCACCGCAGGGAGAGAAGAGTCCTTCCAAGTCGAATCCTGTGGCTGGAATGGAGAGAAGAGAGGAGAGTCCTTCCAAGTTGAATCCTGTGGCTGGAATGACTGTCTGTCTGACCCCATGAGTTTCTTGAAGTAACTCCAGAACATCCTGGGGTCTCTTGTGTTCTGACATTTTATGTGCAAGGGTTTCCCAGTATTGTTTGTTTATTACTTTAACCTCGTGTGTTAGTTGCGCTTTGAGTTCTCTGTATCGTGTGTGTAGTTGTGCGTTCCAACCCCGTGTTATTGTCAGTTGGTGTAGGTGTCTGTATTGTATTTTGAGTAATATCAGGCGGTACATTTCTCTGTAGGGGGATGGTTTTGTGTGTTCTGGGGATGTTAGCCAGTCTGCTGGTCGTCTGTATGTCTGTGTACAACTGTTCAAGGTGGTAGTTTATCATGTGTGTGGGTTGACCCTCGGGATCTGTAAGGTGTGTATTTTCAAGCGCTTGTTTAAATCCCTCCCAGTTTGCATGTTTGAAGGATTCTCGGGGTTGTGTTGGGATCATGATGGGGTTTGTTGATAGTGTTAATATTAAAGGGAGGTGATCACTGGAAGTGATATCGTCTGTTGATATGTGGTAGTGTAGGTGTGCTCTGTGGCTAGCGAGTACTATGTTAGATGTTGTGTTATATGCAATATATGTTGGTGTGTGTGGACCGAGGTGTGTCTCAGGCCTCTGCCTATTGCGTTAGTGTGGTTGTATCCAAAGAGTGTGTGGTTAGCATTGAAATCTCTTATGATGTATATTGGTTTGTTGTGCCTTAGGAGCTGCAAGATGTCGGGGCGGGATACTCAAAACAGTTTACAATGTTGTATCTCGCATCGGAGCAGTTACAATGTTGTAACTCCTCCAAGGGCCATACTCGAAACAAAAATAGCCGCCATGTTATGACGTCACACATTGTAAAGTACCTTGTAAGTTACAACTGCTCGGGAGCTCTTGTAAGGGTTTCAAACCGGATATATTACGGTTTATTTCCCGATTACTTAGTCGACAAAAACGTTTATTTGACAGTAACATGCCTTTTCCATATTTAATACAGGGGAATTTCAATTGCCTAGCATACTCTCTGTTTTCTATGCATTATCGTTATTTTGAATCAAATATAAATTGACTGTAAATTGAGTTGACAGACGACACACAACAATGTTTTGGTGGCTGCTCATCCTCATGACCGAGCATTGCAGCGCGAAAGACATTATTATAGGGAATCATTAGTTTCACGCTATGGAGAGGATAAGCATGTATTGCGATATCACAGATTTCTTAGATTTGTTTTACTATAACTTTCTTTGATGCCAAATATCCTACTAGACAATCCTTTTAAGAATTATCGTTCCGATAATCAGTGACTCTTCCGTGTGTATGTTTAAATCAATTTACTTTCGCATGAAATTATGGTTTTTTGCCATATACTTCCGAAAAAAATGTATGTATGTCATATGTGAGACCTCATAAACATATTGTTAAAAGTATAGGAAATAAGTCTTTCAAAAATATTACTCGGCGAGACAGTCGCTGGGCCTTCCATGGAGCTAGTGTTGCAGGGTTTGCGGGGGGTATTTGGGGAGATTTGTTCAAGCCGGGTGTCTATTGCTTGAACGTCTCTAACGGCTTCCTGACTGGAGGGGGAGGGGGGAGGTCATACTGCTACACTCTCTCTCTCTCACTATCACTCTTTCTCGATCTCCCTCTGACTCTCTCTTCCTCTCTTTTCCTCTCTTTCTTTCTCTATTTTCATCTCTCTCTATTCCTGTCTCTCTCACTCTCTCTCTATCTCTCGCTCGCTCTCTATCTCTCTTCGGAATGTCGGTGTTTTGATTATTATCACCGACATTCTTACAATATCAATACAATAACACCGGCATTCCACTATTATAATACTCAAAACACCGACATTCCGCTCTTATAATACTCAAAACACAGACATTCCTCCTTTATTATATTCCGAACACCGACATTCAACTTATATAATACTCAGAACACTGACATTCCACATTTATAATACTCAAAACACCGACATTCCGCTATTATAATGCTCAGAACACTGACATTCCTCTTTTATGATTTTCCAAACACCGACATTCAACTTTCATAATACTCAAAACACCGACATTCCTCTTTTATAATACTCAAAACACTGACATTCCGCATTTATAATAATCAGAACACAGACATTCCACTCTTTTCATATAGTTGTGGTTGGCATTCCTTTTTTCACGTTCGTTTTACTAGAATACTCAAAACACCGATATGTGCTTCTATAATAACTCCGCTTTTATAACACTCAAACACCAACATTCCTGTCTTATGATATTCGAAACACCGACATTCCGCTTTAAATAATTTTCAAAAAACTGATATTCCATTATTATGATACTCATAACATCGACATTCCGCATTAATAATATTCAAAACACCGACATTCCGCTATTATGATACTCATAACATCGACATTCCGCTTTAATAATATTCAAAACACATTCCACATTATTTATTATACCAAACACCGACATTCCGATTTTATGATACTTATAACATCGACATTCCGCTTTAATAATATTCAAAACACATGCCATGTTATTTAATATACCAAACACCGACATTCCGCTTTCATCCAATGGCATAATACCCAGAAAAGTGGCATTCCAGTATAAAATACTTAAAACCCTGTCATTCCATACCTTCCGTAGAGGTATGCTTGATATTCCTTTTCTTACATTAGAGTTCCTACATTCCTGTACCTTCGACCTAGTCAATCCCCCTCCTGCCAGTGTTTTATTGTGATCATAATGTCTGCAGCAGAGCAAGGGAAGGGGGGGGCTATATCGCTCCTGCTGGAGAGCTGGGCGTCCACCCTCGTCCTCGCTGGCTGAGCTTCACATTTACATTATGTTCCTACAAACAACTAAGAAGCTTGAAGAGGAAAAATCGGACCTACTGATCCCCTACGGCCTCGAAAGCACGGAATAAGACAAAGATTCAAATTCTATCATAACGTGTGAAGCATTATTGTAAGATTGCAACCTTATTCCCTTGGTAAGTCGATTGACATCTTCAGGCAAAATATCAATAAATGAAAATTTAACCCTCCCATATAGATTCATATTAATGAACATTTATTATTCACAGACATTCATACTATGAAAATTAAAACTTCACATACAGTCATAGCAGCGGATACCCATGGAACAGGCACAGCCGAGGCCATTCGAAGGCGGCGCCCCAGGGAAGGGGAACGTGTTGTGTCGTCGCAGGGAGGTGCAGAAGGCGGCTGGAACAAAACTCGCTGTTCACTCTTTTCCTGTCCTCCTCTTCTCATTTCCAGTGAGTGATTCTTTATAGGTGTAAATAGAGGGTAAGGAATTGTGGAATGACTGGGGAGTCACGGGAAATAGAGAGAGAGAGAGGAGAAACGTCGATCCCAGTGAGAGTGGCAGGATGACCCAAACCAAGGTTGTAACACTAAGTTTACTCGTCTGAGTTAAGTAAGAGCTTAAGCAACTCTTGTCACTTTTTAGTTGGAGACTCAGTGTGTTTATGATGGAATCCCTCGTGCCATTTCTCGCGTCGGGGGAGGCTAATCTTAATAAGTATGCAATGTGTTTTCATTGTGCACGTATGTAGTTTTGGGGATATTTTCATCTTGCCTTAGATGTAACATGTGTCAGACTGTGTTTAATACAGATGTATATCCGATATGCGCTTCTATAATACTTATTTTTAAGCTTAGAATATGTTTTAGGAGACGTTAGGTGTCATTTCCAATGTCCTATCTTTTTACAGCAGGAATGAAATAAAAAACTAACTGTAAACACAAGTAGATTTCCAGTAATGTAGTGGAAATAAGCATTTGGTAACAGCATATAAAAATTCTGCCTTACAAAGAATCTAATGACATGTTTTACCTGTCCAAGGGCAAATTTGAGACATTGGAAATAACTGCAATTACTCCACCAAACCATTGCTTGTTGTTGCTGTAGGGGAGGCTTAGGTGACGGGCTGAGACTCAATGTAGGTGATCACCTCAACCTTGGACCTTGGTCTTTTCTCCTCCTTTCCTTTTCCTTCCCTTCTTCATCCTCTTGTTCTATTTATCCTAATCATTAACTTGTCCCTTTTTGCTACACTACTATATCATAATGCTCCCTAGTCCCTTAACTCCTTCCCCTTCTAACAAACTTTACTTTATGCTCCTCTCTACCCTTTTCATACTGTCCTCTAGAATTATTCAACTTGTAACTTTGCCCTAATCAAAACACCGAGAGAGAGAGAGATATCCTTTTTACTCGTATGTATTATCATACTGCTAGATGACATTTGATGTCAAATAGCACTTCCTTGCCAAGCCTCACACTAGCGCTGTATTTTGGATACACCACTAATGACCTTAGATGTTGTGCTAGAAAATTATAAAAAAAATAGAGTAAGAAATAACAGCAATTGTCTGCTTTAAGCAGGTGGAGGCTATTATCAAAGACATTTACCATTATGTTTTAATTGTACCAGGTCACATGGTAATCACTTATAATATAGATGTGTGTGGGTGTGTGTGTGCGTGCGCTGGTGAGTGTTCAGTATATACAGGAACATTTCAACCTCAAAATATTCAGATAATAAAAAGGAAATCTTGTGACTTGTAGAAAAGGTATGAATGAGAATGAAGAACTTCACAATACAAGAGATGTATTTGACCGGTTTCAATTATATCTTCGTCAGAAATACATTTCTAAATTTGTCAACATGAATACAGTTCATGTTGTGACTTTTGCCTTTCATTCAAAAGATTAAACCACCATTTGAAATTAGACTTGACTTTCTATAGTTTATTCAGCTGTGTCCAAAGTAACTCCATTAATATCTTCAGACAGGAGTGTGATTAAAAAAGAGAGAAAAGCTATTTAACTTGTATAATATAAGATAAGCTGAGCTATAGATATAAAAGTGAATGAGTGAACTGATAATCATTGAAAATCATGAAATATAAATGCCAGAGAGAGAGAGAAAAATCAAGGTAATGCCCTTAGAGAACACATAGAATGGCACTATTCATTATAGAAAACAATCTGCTGAAAGGTTAATTTTGTGGAACACAGCCGCATCTCAAACCCTATCATATTTGTATCAATTAACTCTAAAAAGTCCTATAACTTACATAGTAACTCAAGTGGTAAGAGATATTTACCACAGCATCATTCACATGGCTAGTCACTCAGACTTCTGTAGGCTTCATCTAGCCATTTAGATGTCAAGGAGGCATTGCATTCCACAGGTTAAGGGATGGTAGCCCCCCATAAAAGAGGTTTTAGGGGGCACAGTCCCCTAATAATAGCAAAAATAATTAAGTACCATTAACATGTATTGTTGCACAGATGGCAACAATACATGTCATGTCCTCTGTAATATAAGTTCATTTATTGCATTTCCACATAGATGGCTCTACAAATGCTTTGTCACCAAGGAGTCAGTCAGTAGTCCTACTTACCTCACCTGATAACCCTTTTCTTTGATGTTTAGAAAGCTTCTTTTGTATTATTTTATCTTAAATGTTACCAAGATTTAAAAAAAAAAAATCATAATAGTCATATTACTAAGAATGGAAATAAAGGTAAAAAACAACCAGTTTTTAAAAGCCCATGCTCTTTTGACACAATTCAGCTGTTAGGCAATACTTATCTGTATGCTCAATCAGGCTGGCTTAGATTTTGTGTTGAGTGGGAAATGTGTAAATAGAGGAAAGATTAAAGATCAAACAGTGTTTAGTGTTTTTAGGTTCTGGTTGTAATTTCCAATTTCAGTTCAGCTGTTCCTTGACCCTCATGTTTATGTTCAGATATGTGTTTATTTTTTTCTTTATCACTTGGATGGAACCTGGTGTGCACATTTGCAAGCTAGTTTGATGATTAAATTACAAGTAACATATTTTATTGTTTTATGATTAGATTGTTATCATAAGGGAGTCATATTGCCATGATCATATTTTCATTTTCTAAGCATATTGTGAAATTTGGTTTGAGAATACTTATGTGTAGTATGATTATTACATTTGATATATTTATATTCGTATTTGTTACACAATTTTCCTTTTATTAGTAGTGTTTTATTTCAGGAAAAAGTTTTAAATCTTACTACATTCTTTGACTGGAAAATAAAAGAGAAGGCTAGACATTATAATAAAACATCAAAATCACTTTTTTTCTTGGTTTCAAGTTATTTGTTAATGTGAAGAGTTCTTTTTTTCTTCTGTCTAAATAGATTTTGGAAAGTGAAATAGTCATAAATATGTACTCTGTATTTCATCTGTCACCCAGTCACCTGATTACACAATCAGATGATAATTTAGCTACTCTTGGCCAATTAATCTATCAACATCTAAAAAGTATATATCACCTACCCCCAGATATCACCACCCCCCTCAGATAGGAGAGGGAGAGGGGAAATAGGAGAAATGGGAAATAGAGTGAGATGAGGAATAAAGAGAGAAAGGATAGGAGGGAAAGGGCAAGGAGGTATAGAAAGTAAAAGGATAAGAAGAGGAAGAGGAAAAGGAGGACAAGGGTAGGAGCAAGACAGATAGATAATGAGATGTTCTCACAACTATTGGCTGTACATTTTTACAAAAAGTTCTTTTCGTTGTGTGTGTGTGTGTGTGTGTGTGTGTGTGTGTGTGTGTGTGTGTGTGTGTGTGTGTGTGTGTGTGTGTGTACACATGTATGTATGTATAAAATGTATATATATGTGTGTTTGTGTTTATATATATATATATATATATATATATATATATATATATATATATATATATATACATACATATATATACATACATATATATATATATACATACATATATATATATATATATACATACATATATATATATATACATACATATATATATATATATATATATATATACATACATATATATATATATATATACATATATATATATATATATATATATATATATATATATATATATATATATATATATATATATATATATATATACATATATATATATACATATATATATACATATATACATATATACATATATACATATATATATATATACATATATATATATATATATATATATATATATATATATATATATATATATATATATATATGTATATATATGTATATATATATACATATATTTATATATATATATACATATATATATATACATATATATGTGTGTGTGTATACATTTATGTATATATGTATGACATACATAAATGTACAGTATATAAACATACATATGTCTGTAATGTATTTTTGTTTCTAAGTACATAAGCCAAACTTAGTGGCATTGACTTAAGTCGGCACTGGGTTTAAGCATTGGCTTAAACCCAATGCCAACGGGAATGACATGTACGTGTATGCTATGCTCACTGTGAGTTTATTTATTTGATTGTTTTAAAACATAGATGGTGACACTTGTTCTAAGTCACCAATTACGAGTACTGCCTGTTTCACCCATCTACCCTTTTCTTTGTTTTACGAAAATATTTTACTTTATCTTATTTTGCTGTTACCAGTGTTTATAACATAGTAATTATAATGTAGTTATTTAAAATAAAAATAACACTATCGATATTCATAGCACTATTAAAAAATACATTTTTCCCACCAATACAAATCACGTAAGGTGGCTTAGTACTAGCATAGCCATCTATGTGCAAAGACATTTCACAAAAAAATGAGCACAGCATTTTCCCCATTTTTTATTCATTTTCCCCGGCAGCATTGGGTTATAGAATATTTAAAATTTGTCTCCGTAGGTGGGGAGGCAGAGTCCGTAATACAATGGCTCGCCGCGGTGGTTGTTGCATGTACTTCAATCTCATCATGGCTGTGATTGGCACCTTGGGAGGATGGTCAGCCTTTGTCGTTTTCTTCTTTCACTTCACAAACCATCAAGCGGGCATTTGGGCATTTGTGTCAGGTACATTGTTGTCATACTGTTGGATTATTGAGATTCTTGAGCATTACACAGTTACAATGAAAAGATAAAATATTCTGAGAAAATTGTGTCTCTCCTCATCATTTCATTAGATGTCTTTTGTTTGTAAGTTTTTTCTCCTCAACAGGAACATATGCAGCAATGACGCTGTTCATTCACATTCTATACAAGCGCCACACCTTGGAGACTTGGTACACTCCCGAAAACT